GCGACGTTCCCACACCAAGAATCCATGGAGGTCCTGGGGTCTCAGGGTTGGGTTTCTTGTGTGGAAGGTGTCTTGCGGTCGGGCCCCAACTGTATACGGTAGGTTCGCGTCGTGTCGACCCTCGTCTTCCCCGACGCGAGCGCTTGAACGCCGCCAGCGGCCCAGAATCGACCAACATGAAACGATTGGGCGATGGAAGAGCTGCCGATCGGTCAAGGTTGAACGATCCAGGCGGTGTCAGAAACCAACGCAGGGGTCGTCACGACACGAACTTGCCGTACCCTCGGAGGAGGAGGAGGAGGAGGAGGGGGAGGAGGAGGAAGAGGAGGAGGAGGAGGACGAGGGGGAGGAGGAGGAGGAGGAGGGGGAGGAGGAGGAGGAGGAGGAGGAGGAGGAGGAGGAGGAGGAGTTGGAGGAGGAGGAGGAGGAGTTGGAGGAGGAGGAGGGAGGAGGAGGAGGAGGAGGAGGAGTGTGCTGCGTGCCTGGGCCCCCCGCCTTGGAGTGTTTTTTTTCCCCCTTGGGGCATACATCCACTGGGCCCTGGGCCGTCGGCGAGGGGGCCGTCGCGGTCCTGTCTCGAGTCAGGCATGCCCCTCCTACAGGAGGGACACACAAAAGCAGTCCAAGCACGAGCCTGGGTACGACACTCCGACTATTGTTGACCCTTTTTGAACATGTTCGGCCGCGCGGTCGCCGCGCCCCGTTGTTTGGGGCTCCCGGTCTTGCCCCACGCGCTCCTGCGGCCGGGTGCCGACTGTGCCCTGCGTGCCCGCTGTCGCGGTCCTGTCTTAAGTCAGGCATGTCCCTCCTACAGGAGGACTATACAAAAATAGCCATCAAAACACGAGCCTGGGTACGACACGTCGACTATGTTTGACCATGTTGGAATCTGTTTGGCCACGCGGCCGCCGCGCCCCATTAGTTTGGGGCTCCCGGTCTCGCCCCACGCGCTCCTGCGGCCGGGTGCCGCCTGTGCCCTGCCCGCCCCGCCGGCCTGTCTATAGGCCCGCCCGCCTCGGGCCGCCAGTTCGGGCGGCGCGCGGGGGGCGCCAGTTGTTCCCCCGAAGCTCCGGGAACTTGGTGGCAGGGTTTCTTGCGGCATTGTCGCTGCATTTTGGGATTCCACTCTTCCTCCTCCTCCTCCTCCTCCTCCTCCTCGCCTCCCTCCTCCTCCCCCTCCTCCTCCTCCTCCTCCTCCTCCTCCTCCTCCTCCTCCTCCTCCTCCTCCTCCTCCTCCTCCTCCTCTCCTCATCCGTCTCTCCTGATCCGTCTCTCCTCGTTCTCCTCCAGGGGGCGACGGCCGTGCAGCAGGGGCCCGAAGATGTTGTTCCTCCATCAAGGCTGGGCCTGGGGATGGAGCTCGCCCCTCTCTTGCCTCCGGCGGGAAGCGGAGCCCGAAGTTTTTGTTCCTCTATCAAGGCTGGGCCTCCGGATGGAGGCCGCCCCTCTCTTGACTCTGGCGGGAAGCGGAGTGGGCGGCACCGAGCCAGGGGGGCAGGTGAGAGGGAGGCCTGCTCCGAAGGCGGCGGGACTCCTCAGGAGAAGCCCTCGCGCCCTCCGCGAGAGGTCTAGTGGCGTCTGCGGGGGAGGCCCCGACAGCTTCTCAGAGGCATGGGGGGGACTTCTGAGCCTGCTCAGCAAGCCCGCCCCCTTCTCACTTCCCCCCCCCCCGAGGCGCGCCGCCCACTCTTGGCACGCCCGCCCTCGCGGCTCCTTCCTCCGACCCGTCTGGTGGCGCGCCCTGTCGTGATCTCCACCAGGCCGTGCCTGCGTTGCCGCCCCTGCCGTCACCGCTCGTGCCTCGCCGGCTGGCCACACGGCGAGCGAGCGGTGCGCTCAAGTGTGGCCGGCACGGCGGGCGCGGTACTCTGTCGAGGGATGTCTCGCATCCTCTGCTGCTCTCCCCGGCCCGGCTCGGCGCGCGCGCGTGTTCGGCTTGGCTGCGAGCGTAGTCTTCGAGCGTCTGTGCTGGCGATGTCCTACAGGGTGTGGTGGAGCCTGCTCGCAACAAGTCTCCCGCCTTCTCCCTCGCCTCGGCTCCTCCCCTCTCCCTCTCCCCCCCTCCCGCCTCCCCGGGCAGTGCTTTACCCATGCGCGCCTGGCGCTTTCGACTGCACCTCCTGGGTGGTATCTCGATCGCCGTTTCAGCCTCGGGGGGTAGACGCATTCAGTTTTCCGGAGACTCGAGCGCCCGCCTGGGCGCACGTCGACGCGCGAGCGGGGGGAGACGCCGGTGTCGCTCCGGTGCCGCGCAGAGTTCGCCCGAAAGTGGCGCTCCCGCCTCGGCGCGACGCATGCCAGCCACTCGCGAAGTTTGGGGCCCCGCGTCAGCGCGAGACGTGCCGCCCTCGCTCGACCTCCGCGCACACGCCGCCCACACGTGGCGTTCCCGCGCGGGCACGGCGCATGTGTTTCGCTTGCCGAGGCGCACGACAGCGGCAGCGAGCGGCGGGGCCGCGCGAGAGCGACATGCTGCTTTCTCTCTCTCTCTCTCTCTCTCTCTCTAGAGCCGGGCAGTTTGTGTGGAACTGGCAGCGCGCGGCACAGGCTTCGTCCAGGCTTGAGTCGGGCTTGTCCCTCTCACTCCTTTGGTCATTAGTTTACCCGTGCTACGATGCCAATGCGTTTTAGTTCGATTCCCTCACTCTTCCGCTCGCCTCCGCGTCCCACGAACGATTCCCCGCCCCTCCCCATCCCAGCCCCCCTCTCCCTGCCCCTTCCTTGTCCATCCCTTCCCTCTCCTCCGCCCCACTGCACCTCACTCCACGCTGCTCCTCCCTGCTCCTCTGCTCCTCCTTCTCCTCCTCCTCCTCCTCCTCCTCCTCCTCCTCCTCCTCCTCCTCCTCCTCCTCCGCTGCACTCGGCCGCACTCCTCCCCCCCTCCCCTCCCCGCCCCGCGATCCCCGCCTTCCCCCACAGCCTCCGCTGCCTTCCCCCGCTGGCCTCCGCCGCCTCGGCGAGCGGGCCCTCCCCGCGCCTCGGCCCTCCTCCGCGCCTTCCACCTCCCCGCCCCCGCCAGCTTCAGGAGGGGAAAAACACACACAGACACAACGAATCGTCGATTCTTCCCCAAAAAAACATGGGAAAAAATGGGAAGCGAGGGGGAAGCCAACACCCAGAAAAGATAGGGAGATATGGGGAAGCATGTTATTTGTGTGTGTGTGTGGATGTCTTCGTGTGTCCCAGGGCCCCTTCACAGTTCTCCCCCCCCCCTTTCCCAGTCGGCTCGCGGACCGCGCGTGCCACTTCCTCCCACGTCCCTCCCCTCCTCCTCGCCCCGTCCCCAGCCCTCGCTGCAGTCAACCCGCACGGCACAAGGATGGGCAACCCTCCCCGAGGGTACCTTTGCATCCTTGCCCCTTCGGCCCACGCTTAGCGGCTTTCGCTGGCCAAACCTCGCTCGAAGAACCTTCACGTGGCCCTCCAAGGCCCCTGCATCCACACCGCGCATCCTCACGATACGGGTTGACTGTAGTCCGCCCTCCCCCATGCACTCATCCGCACGCGTGCTCGGGTCTCCCCGCTCCGCCTCCTCCCCTCGTCTCCCCGCTCCCCTCCCCCCACAGTGTCGCACTCTGCCCCGCATGCCTCCCGAATCCTCCCCACTGCCCCCCCTGCCCCTCTTCGCCCGAGTGTCTCTCTTTGCCCGCACGCCTCCGCTCCACGCCGCCCCTCCCAACTGCTGTGTGCTGCATGTGGTTACTGCCAGGCTTTGTAGAAGTAAGTGCTTGGTGCTCCGCGTGCCCTCACCGGCCCATCCAGAAATGATGCCCGTGAGAGTTGCTGGGATGAGGGGGCTGACGGCGGGGAGGAGGATGAGGAGAAGATTGAGGAGGAATAGGACCAGGAGGAGGCGGAGAAGGAGGAGGGAAAATGATGAGGAGGAAGACGAGGAGGGATAGGAGGAGTAAGAGGGGAGGAGGAGGAAGGGAAGAGGATGAGGAAGGAGGACGAGGAGAAGGCGTTCGCGGATCTGTTGTTGTGAAAGCACATTGGAGGACTCGCAGGGTTATCTTGGGAGCTTCTTGGCCATCTCGGGTCTGCTTTGGAGGGTCTTGGGGTCCTCTTGAGGTTCTTTAGGAGGGAAGTGGTGGTCTTCTTGGGACAATATTGAACCCTACATCTCAAAAAAAGGGTGTGGGGCGTCAACTCGGGTCCCCCCCCCCCTCGCAGTCCGACAAGCCTTGTCTTGGAGCGTTATTGGGTTTTTGTTGCCGGCCTCTTGAGCTTCTCGAGGCCTCTGGGGGGCCCCTGAAGGGGTTCTTGGCTGCTCCCCTCCCACGACGAAGGGGCATGGAGGCAAGGCGGTGATGGCTGCCCGTGTCCAGAGGGGGGGGGGGAGGGGCGAGGGGCGCACGGCGGCGGACGCAAAGAACACCCGTCGTCTGCCCCCCCCCCCCCACCTCTTCCCTCCTCCTCCTCTCCTCCTCCTCCTCCTCCTCCTTCTCCTCTCCTCCCTCCTCCTCCTCCTCCTCCTCCTCCTCCTCCTCCTCCTCCTCCTCCTCCTCCTCCTCATCCTCCTCGTTCGTCACCCACAGGAGGCACAGCTTCGCGTGGCTGGCGCCGGAGGTACTGGCGCATCGTGCAACGGCCTGTACAGAGCAGTCGGGCGGCATGTCGGCAGGCCCGGGGATGCCTCCAAGGCGGCCTCCTTCCCCGGGGACGCGCCGGCTCCCGGCCGGGACTCCCGAGACCGAGTGCCTGTCGACTCTCTCGCGGGGGACTCTGGGGCCGGTGTCCGCCGAAGGCAGCGATGCAGCACGGCCGTGCCTGTCCAAGGCCAGGCATGGTGGTGTTCAGGCGGCTTCCGCGTGTGTTGGTCCAGGGGCCCACTGGATTGGTGGCCCGTGTCAGGAGGTGTGATGAGAGTTCCCGTGAGCAGGCCAAAGTACCAGCACACCTTGTGGAAGCCGATAATCAAGCCCACCGTTCCTCAGCCGATAATCTACTACACGCTGGAGGGGTGGAAGATCAACGACAGGGACGACACGACGTCCTGCATGTACTTTCACACCGATGCGCACAGCAAGACGCCACCAGAGCTCGACTGGAGGACGATCGGCCCCCACCGAGGCGATGCAGACCCGCCGCCGACCATCTCATACGTTCAGGCTGGCGACGCAGGCACCTGTGGCGACTGGGAGCAGGAAGGAGGGAGAGGAGGAGAGAGGAGGGAGAGAAGGAGGACAGTTGAGGGAGGACGGAAAAAAGAAAAAAAGGAGGAGGAGGAGGAGGAGGAGGAGGAGGGGCAGATTGGACGCTCCGAGAATAGGGCTTCAGCTTGGCCAGCGCGACAGGAGGAGGAGGAGGAGGAGGAGGAGGAGGAGGAGGAGGAGGAGGAGGAGGAGGAGGAGGAGGAGAGGAGGAGGAGGAGGAGGAGGAGGAGGAGGGGAGGAGGAGAAGGAGGAGGAGGAGGAGGAGGAAACCATGACATTGCAATTACGATTGTGCAAAATTTCGCGGGATGAGGCGGATAATGTCGGATGCTTTAGTGGGGGGCCTCAAACAATGTGATGATCACACCACGTGGTGAGTCAGTGGGGGTTCGAGGTCACAGCGCGGTTTTGGGACTCGGGTCGTTCTCCCAGGACGTCTTGGGCGGCCAGGGCTTCGAAAGGCCCCCAGGCCGTGCGGTGACGGACCGCACGGTGAGATCTTTTTGGGATCCCTTGTTCAGCCCACGGCTGCATGGGTGCGCCGACGTCCTGGTTTCAAAGTCCACGTTTGCTGGGGCCCTTCACAGGGGCCCTGGGGGGAGGGAGATGAGGTCCGCCTCGGCACGAAGCAAGCGGGTGCTGAGGGAAACGGGCCGACCCCCAGGCCTGGCCCCACATCCCCCCTCGAAGTCCAACGCAAGTTTCTCCCGCGACGTCGCGGCGCCCTGGGACCCCAGAGTTTCCGCGCTCGCGCCGACAGTGGCGACCGCAGACCACCAAAATCTGGCCCGTGGGCCTCGCCTCGCGCGCCGACCAACATGAAGAACGTGCGCCTGATTCCGGGGAGGGCTGCAGGACCAGGTGTTCGCCCCGAGCCATCCTCTGACAGTCCAGGGGGGGGCCCACGGCAGGCCCAACACGGCGAAAGGTCTCACTCGGCGGCGAGCGAGGGGGGGGGGAGTGAGAAGGAGAGGGCGTTCGCAGAGGGCGGCGGGACTTCTCTGAAGCCCTCGCGCCTTCTCAGAAGTTGTCCTGCGTCTTCGGGGAAGGCTCCTCGGAAGCTTCTCAGAAAGCCGTCTTGTGGAGGACTTCCGAGCCTTCTTGACAGGCATTCTCCCTCTCACTCCCCCCCCTCGCTCGCCGCCAACTCACGACCCGTTGCCTTCAGACCCGCTGGCTTCATGGCGGCCGCCGCCGCGCCCGGAGGCCCTGAGCCGTCATCTGGCAGTCCACGGAGGGCCCACTGAAGGCCCAAAAAACAGCGCAAGCCCTCACCGCCCGCTGCCTTCCGACCCGCTGGCTTCGTGGTGGTCGCCGCCGCGCCTGGAGGCACCACCCACAACGACGTCGGCACCGCAGGCGGCCTCCAGGCGCAGCCGGCCGGGGCGAACGGAGGCCGCGGCGACCAGCGCTTATGCTCCGTCGCCTGCCGTGCTCGCCGTCTGCCGTCGGCAAGGATCAGAGGAGGAAAAGGTACCGATACCGCTACCCTCGCTTCGTTTTTCGCCTTATTTGGGTCTCTTGGGAGGCCCTCGCCGCCACGCACCCCTGGAGAGGTCTGGGGAGCAGCGGAATCGGTACCTTTAGATTTCCCCAAACAAGCCAGAAGTCGGCCACGCGCAGAAGGGGGTATATATGGGGAGAGGGGAGAAAGCTTCTTAGAGGCGCGCCTGCTTCTCAGAAGGCGCGGGTCCTCTCTTCAGATACAGGGGTGGCACTTCTAAGAGGCCTTCCCCCCCCCTCCCTCTACCTCCTGTGCGCGCCGCCAAAAGGCGGAGGGGGTTCTGACGGAGATGGGCCCTGAGGTTCTGGTTGGTTTTCGACTGCCTCTTGGGCCAGGCATTTTCAGCGTCCAACGTATCCCCATTCCTGTGATTGGCATCGCCTTGGCTCGAAGTCGATATTAAGGATTCTCTCGGTTTTCTGAAAGGGCGTCCTTGATATTGATCTTTCATCCGGGAGGGTATATGGTTTGTCTGCCTCATGCCAGACCAGATGAGCTCCAAGCAGATGGTGTCGACGGACGCGCCGCTTCGCCGATGCATCGTCGATGCGGATCGATGTGGAGCCCGATTTTCTTCACGCCGACGTCGCCGATGCATCGGCGATGCATCGGATATGCGGCGTCATCCTCAGGCCCCATCTCGGCGGCGAGCAGGGGGGGAAGTGAGAAGGAGAAGTCCTTCTCAGAAGGTGGTGGGACTGCTCAGAAACTCTCCGGCCTCCTCAGAAGTGTTCTGCGTCTCCGGGGAAGGCTCCTCGAAAACTTCTCAGGAGGCCTGGGGACATCCGAGCCCTCCGAGAAGGCAGTATCCTTCTCACTTCCTCCCACGCGCGCCGCCTACTTTCGGCACCCCCGCTCTCGTGGTGGCTCCTTTCTCCGACCTGCCTGGTGACGCGTCCTGCCATGGTTTCCACCAGGCCATCTTGATGCCACAACGGCTATCGTTGCCGCCCTTGCCGTCACCGCTCGTGCCTCCCCTTTGCCTGGGCCTCCTTTCGGAGACCTCTGCTCTTGGGGGGGGGGCCGTTCCTGGGCCGTCCACAGAGATTGCAAACCACACCATTGGCAAACCACACCCTTTGGAGTCGCCGACAGAGGCGGCGCGGAGGGCCGCGGAGCGCACGGGCGTTGTTTACCCACCGGGGCCCGCGCCTCTCGTGGGCAGCTGCTGGGCAGAGGGGGGCCAGCAGGGGGGGGAGGGGGGGCAGGGGGAAGGAGGAGGAGGGGGAGGGGGAGGGGAGGGAGGAGGGAGGGAGGGAGGGAGGGAGGGAGGGAGGGAGGGAGGGAGGGAGGGAGGGAGGGGAGGGAGGGCGGAGGGAGGAGGAGGGAGGAGGAGGAGGAGGAGGAGGAGGAGGAGGAGGGGAGGAGGACGAGGACAAGAGGACGAGGAGGGAGGAGGAGGGGGAAGAGGAGGGGAGGAGGAGGAGGAGGAGGAGGAGGAGGAGGAGGAGGGGGAGGACGAGGACAAGAGGACGAGGAGGAGGAGGAGGAGGGAAGAGGAGGAGGAGAGGAGGAGGAGGAGGAGGAGGAGGAGGAGGAGGAGGAGGAGGAGGAGGAGGAGGAGGGAGGAGGAGGAGGAGGGAGGGAGGGAGGGAGGGAGGGAGGGAGGGAGGGAGAGAAAGAGGGAGGTAGAGAGAGGTAGAGAGGGGGAGAAGGAGGCCAAGCGAGGTGCGCGCGCACCACATCTGGTATCCGATCTCTTCACCCCGTCCCTTCCCACTGCGTCAGATTTGTTTTTATTTGCCGGCTGGGGTGTCTTCGAGGACCTTGACCCCCAAAAGGCAGTTTCAGTTGTTGACTTATATTTTGCCTTGCAAGTGGGAATTGGTGCACTTGAACAGTGGAGGAGGACGAGGAGGAGGAGGAGGAGGAGGATAAGGGAGAAGAGGAGAAGGCGGGACGAGGTGGAGGAGGAGCAGGAGGGTCAGGAGAAGGCGGCAGAGCGAAACAGAGGGGGACGGCAACGATAAAGAAGCAATTGGATCCATACATGTGGCCCGCGCGGGCGAGAGCTCAATTCTGAACGTCGGGGGCGAAGTATCGATCTTGAGATATGGCCAACGGTGCAGCGGGAGCGCCGTCTCTGATGCCGCGAGAACACCCCGATGTAGATCTGAAAGGTCCTGGTGCGCAACAATTTCACACGTCAAACGGAAGAGGCCGCGGCAAACCAGCACAGTACCAAGGGAGAGGCAGTGCTCGTATCGCACAGCGGTAGAGGGAGCAGGAGGAGGAGGAGGAGGAGGAGGAAAGGGCTAGGATGAAGAGGGAGGGAAAGGGAGGATGTGGGGGGGGATGAGGGGGGAGGAGGAGGAGGAAGAGTAAGACTCTTGCTCTTCCTCCCCCTCCCCCTTCATCCTCCTCTTACTGTAAGAGGAGGAGAGCGAGCAGCTGGGAGAACAGCGCAGTGAGAAGAATAGGGAAAAGAAGGACAAGAAGGAGAAGCAAAGCACGTAGCTTATTCTAGGGCGCGCGATCAATAGCTTCCGAGCCATGACTAGGTGGCGCGGCGCTCTCGGAAGCAGCGGGAGCCCAGATGGGTGTACCAATGAGGTCGTGCCGGCATGTGGGGCGAGCCGCTCGCCGAACACGTCGGCAGTGCTTGCCTGATTGGAGCTGAGGTGTTCACGCATCCGAACAACGGGAGTCGAATGTGATGCAGGCTTGACTTGTCTTTCCTGCTCGGCCTTCTGCCTTCGCCCCGTGAGCGACAGGGCCGCAAGGCTTTGAGCTGTGCAGCGACACCCCGCCCCATGATTCCTGGTTCTGACCTGATGGGGAGGGGGGGAGGACGCATGGACAGAAGCAGAGGGAGGCAGCAGATGAGGAGGATGAGGCGAGGGACAAGGAGCAGGCAGCAGATGGGGACGGGGGAGAAAAAGGAGGCAGGAGGCGATGAGGAGGGGGGGAAGGATGGCGAGGCGAAGGAGGAGGCAGCAGATGAGGAGGAGGAGAAGGCGGAGGAGGACCGAGGAGGGGTGGTGGCGAGGAGGATGAGGAGGCGAGAGGACCAGGCCGATCCCGCTCACGGCCGCCGGCCGTCGTCGAGCTGAAGTCCTTTTTCCTCATCCTCCTCCTCCTCCTCCTCCTCCTCCTCATCATCATCATCATCATCATCATCATCATAGTCTTCATCTCGCCTCCTCGTTCTCCTCATGCACCAGTTTTGTCTCCCGCACCTATTGACACTACCCTGAAGTTGTTGTTGTTCCCCCCTCTCCTCCTACTCCTCGTCCTCCTCCTCCTCTTCATCCTCCTCGTCCTCCTCCTCCTCGTCCTCGTCCTCGTCCTCCTCCTCCTCCTCCTCCTGATCCTCCTCCTCGTCCTCCTCGCGGGACGTGTCGGCCCTCCGGCAGGCCGCGGGCCTTTGATGTTGCAAACAGCCGTTGCTGCGAATACGGCAAGCCCTTCGGCGGGCGCCCCCTTCTGGTAGTTAAGCCGTAGAGTTGGCAGCGCTTTGGGGCTACGCGCGCAGGCTCTAAGATGTGTCTTGGATCCCCGTCATTATTATAGCCGGCTTGTTCCTGGCATGGGCTGTAGGGCTCAGGCATGTTGTCAGGGTCGGTCCTGGGGCCGCGGGATGCGGAGGAGAAGAAGAATCATAATACACTTGGCAACACGAATAATGAGGAGAAAATGATAAATAAGAAGAATGCGAAGAAGGCAAATACGAAGAAGAAGAAGAATCATAGCAAGAGCACGAAGAAAATACGACTAATCCTAATAACAACACTGTTTTAGCGAGACTGGCAGTAACATTATTACACATATTAATACTAACACTAATACTGTAGTATTAGTAGTGGTACGAATACGAATACTAGGACTTGAGAGTAATCAGCATGATTAATTAAACACCAGAAGAGTACTACAATCAATAATCAGAAGAAGGACTCCAGCATTAGAAAGACGAATGGTAATAGTAGTAAGAAGCATTACAAGAAGAAACGAATAACACGAATAAGAAACAATAGTAATACTTAGAAGAAGAAGGCACCTACGAAACATATTCATAAAAATAGTTTGAATAGTCTTCATAAGAATAACAATAATACTACGAAAAAATAAGAATAATTATTGACAATCGAAATAATAGTAATAATAATAATAATAAGAGCATGGCTTATAATAATAAGCATATTCACAAGGGGAGGCAATCCAATAATAATGATATTACTGTGAGAAACAAACGTAAGCATGATACTAAACGCTGGAAGAATACGAATAAGAACAATAATTCTACTAGTAATAATAATCGTAATGCTAAGAAGAAGAATCAGCATAATGATAAGGATACTATTGAGAAAACTATGGTTGATCAGAAGAAGGAGGAGGAGGAGGAGGAGGAGGGAGGGGGAGGAGGAAAAGGAGGAGGAGAAGGAGAAGGAGGAGAAGAAGGAGGAGGAGGAGGAAGAGGGGGGGAGTCTAGGCTCGACGTCCGCCGCGCGAGTGGAACCCTCCTCCCCCAGGCCTGCTGGAGTACTTCTGGTTCTGGTTCTCGACAAGCCTCCGGCTGGACAGCGCTGGCTTGGGAGTTCTTTACACGGTGTTGCACATTCGCGGGCAGGAGTAGTTTTCTTCCTTGTTGATATCGTGAGGGTGTCAGTTTCCTTCTTGAATTCCCGAGGGGGTCTTCGCACCCCACCTCGATGGTTCTGTGTCGCCCCCTCTTGACTCTCCCAGCGCTCCTCAATGACTATCTAGGTAATCACACGTTTGCGCGCGTACAATACCATATGCCCTATGCCTGTGTAGTGCTATCCCATACAACCATGGCGTTCACATTACTCGTGCCGTAGATGCTCTAACCATGTCTTCATGTATCGCATGACCCGTGGTTACAGGAAGATGTTCAACAGGCCTTTGAGTATCAGCTTCAACCGCATTCATTGTTTGTGCTGTAGCTTGCGCCAGACACCCTGCGGGCAACCAAACCGTACGCCCACAGCGCACCTCTGATACTGTACCGAGAAACCGTGCAGCAGCTGCGAGGCCGTGACATGACTGGGCTTCTTGGGGCTTCTCGCCAGGCCCAAAGAGCAAACCAAGAGATCGCTTACACGGCGATGGCCACCTGGAACCTTCTCAGGGCACGTTGTAAGTTTGTATTCCCAGCAGCGCCGCCCAGGCCTCGCGAAAGGTCACGCAGCGGTTCGCCACAGCGCCCAGGCGCGCCCAAGAGACCCGCAGGTAACTTTGGGGGGCTTTTGGCTTTGAGAGGGTGTTACACCTCCTCCTCCTCCTCCTCCTCCTCCTCCTCCTCCTCCTCCTCCTCCTCCTCCTCCTCCTCAACGCTCAGCTATCGGCGACGCCGGAGAACCTGAGAACACTCCACCAGCGCTACGGCACGATGGCCGAACTTTAGCTCCGAGCACACTGATGCAAGGCTGGCCTCTCATCATTGTGGGCCCAAGATGGCCGCCGATGACTCCGAACCGTGGTGAGCCACCTTCTGTGGCCACCCGCCATCGCTTAAACCCTATAATTGATTTGCCATCTGGCTGACTGCAGAGAGAAGTCTGTGTCTTGGAGGGCCTTGCAGACGAGGCCCAGGCAGAACACGAATTGGCAGAAGCCCGACTGGGGCCTGACAAGATTTCTCCCAATCTATGTGTTTCTTGTCGTTCGAAATACCGAAGGTGCAAGGGCATCGGTTCAGTTGGGTTCCGATGTTACGCTCCTGGGGCGTGCGCACATGTTCGCGGCAGGGGAGGAAGGCACGATGTTAGCAGGAGCAGAGGAAGCCGTCGATTAGAAATAAGGCGTTCGCTTAACAATGTCGCTTCCAGGACTTGCTATGTGTTTCGCGAGTTCAACATGGCGGAGCAGCGGAGGCAGGGCGCTGTACATGGCCGTCCTTCGTGCTCTCCTCTTCCGTCCTTCGTTGCTTCAGCCTAGCGGGGGAGAGGTGGGCGACGGAGGAAAAGGGAGCGATGGGAGTGGAGGAACGGATGGGAGGGGTGTTCCCATGCCACGGTTACTGTGCAAGGAGGCAAGTTGCTCTGTCCAGCGGCCTCTGGCCCACTCTTCCGCTGCTTTAGGCCTGTGGGCCAAGGCGCAGCGAGACAATCTGAAGGTCACGGCGCATTCCAGGCCATGCCCTTTGGAGGCAAATTGTTGGGGCCACTACGGTCGTCTGGGATGCGGGCCTCTCGTCGGCGCACCGGGGGGACTGCTTGGGGGACTGCACGGGCCGCCTCGGAAGCCTCCTGCGGGTCCCTTGGGAGCCTCGGGGAGGCCTCTTGGGATCCTGTCTGGGCTCTCAGGCGCCATCGGCGACAAGGAGACGGAAAAACCCGACGGGCGGCGCGGTCAGCGCAGGCGTCTCGAACGCGTCCCTTGAGCCCCCAGCTGTGCTGCTGGCGTCCGCTTCTGTCGCACTTCTTTGGGGGGGCCGTTTCGGGAGCCCCTTGGGCCAGCGTTCGGGGCCCCGGAGACCGTGCTGGGGCCGATTGGGGGCTTGCTGGGACGTTTGGGACGCTCTTTCGGCGGAACAGATGCTCGCAAGATTGTGCAACATGCGGTCAACGACGTTCTCCTCTGGAGCGGGTCCTGTCATATCCCCACGAATGCTAAGCCAACCCCCGAAAGGGCCCCAAAACGGTTCCTGGGGGCACATGAGTGCGCGTTGGAAACCCTGTTTGCAGGAGCGATCTCGGTCATATGATAACCCCGCGAGCCCCGGACCGGCCAGCAAACTGATTCGATGGCAGTTGCGTCAATTCGCCAGGTGGTTGGTTCTTTCAAATGGCCTTGCCCGCTCTTGTCTCGCCAAGTGTCGACAACCGGCAGTTGCCATAAACGTGCACCCAAGAGTGCGCCAAGACGGTTCGCCAGAGAGTTCGGATCCAGGAGATGTTCAGTTACGATGACCCGAGAGGTGCCGAGAGGCCCGAGGAAGTTCGCGAGAGAGCCAAAGAGAGGCTCCAGCCAGGATAATTCTCAGACAACAAAATCATAGTTGAACTCGCCATGCTAAGGGCCCAACCCTATGCAGCTGCATGTAGCACAGAGCCGCCCGTGGGCCCCCATTTGAGCAGTAGGTGGAGCATCCTATGGGGGCACGACCCGCGTGAGGGGTATGCCGAAGGTGAGCGCGGCCCCGCATGTGCTGTAGGTGGAGCTCTCTATGGGCCGCGATCACCATGATGGGCGTGCCGAAAATGCTCCGGGCTCGCAAGCGAGCCCCTCACTGGTACAGTAGGTGGAGCACCCTGTGGGACATGATCCGCATGAGTGGTGTGCCGAATTTGGCGCGTTGTCCGCAAGTACTGCGTGTGTGCGCGTGTGTGCGCGTGTGCGCGAGCGTGTGTGTGTGTGTGTGTTTGTGTTTGCGTTTGTGTTTGTGTTTGTGTTTGTGGTTGTATGTGTTTGTGTGTTGTTGTTGTGTTTGTGTTTGTGTGTGTTTGTGTGTATGTGTGTGTTTGTGTGTGTGGTTGTGTGGGTGGTTGTGTGTGCGTGTGTGTGTGTGTGTGGTTGTGTTTCTGCTTGTGCCTGTGCGTGCGTTTGTGCTTGTGTTTGTGTTTGGGTTTGTGGTTGTGCTTGTGTCTGTGTGGGTTCGTGTTTGTGTTTATTTTTCTGGTTATGATTCTGGTTGCGTTTCTGTGTATCGTTCTGCTTATGTTTGTGCTGTGTTGCTGGTTGTGTTTGTGTTTGTGGTTGTGTGTGCTTGTGGTTGTGCTTGTGTTTGTGGTTATGTGGGTGGTTGTGTTTGTGTGTATGTGTTTGTGTGTGTGTGTGCTTGTGTTTGTGTTTGTGTTGATGATTGTGCTTGTTATTGTGGTTGTGTTTGTGATTGTGTGTGGTTGTGTTTGTGTTTGTGTTAGTGTTTGTGCTTGCGTTTGTGGTTGTGTTTGTGTTTGTGTTTGTGTGTGGTTGTGTGTGTTTGTGTGTGTGCGTGCGTTCGGTGTGTATGTCTGTGTGTGCGTGCGTTCGGTGTGCGTGCGCGGGCGTGCGTGCGTGCGGGTGCGTGCGGGTGCGTGCGTGCGTGCGTGCGCGTGCGTGCGTGCGTGCGTGTGCGTGCGTGTGTGTGCGTGCGTGTGCGTGCGTGTGCGTGCGCGTGCGTGCGCGTGCGTTCGTGTGCGTGCGCGTGCGTGCGCGTGCGTGCGTGTGCGTGCGTGTGCATGCGTGTGCGTGCGTGTGTGCAGGTGTGTGTGTGTGGGTGTGGGTGTGTGTGTGTGTGGGGGGGGGAGTGTGTGTGTGTGAATGTGTGTATGTGTGTGTTGTGTGGTGTGTGTTGTGTGTTGTGTGTTGTGTGTTGTGTGTTGTGTGTTGTGCGTGCGTGCGTGCGTGTGTGTGCGCGCGTGCGTGCGAGCGTGTGTGTGTGTCTGTGTGCGTGTGTGTGTGTGTGTGAAGCTGTTGCGCACGATCGCCATAGTGCACGTGTGCGCGCCGAAAATGCCGCGGGCTCCCATGCGACACCCCTCAGTGGTGCAGTAGGCGGAGCTCCCTGTAGGGCACGATCCGCGTAGGAGTGTGCCGAGGTGGGCGCGGGCCCACATTCGAATTATCAGTCTGTGGCCGCAGGTGGAGCTCATTCTGGGACACGATCCGCGTGAGGAAGGTGCCGAAATTGGGCGCGGGCCCGCATGCGAACTATCCCACTTGTGCCTTAGGTGAGAGTTCTTATGGGACCCGATCCGCGTGATGCGCGTGCCGAAATGAGCGCGGGCCTGGAATGCCATCGCGCCCACCGAAACCGTAGATGAAGTTCCTCGTGAGGCACGATCCGCACAAGCGGTGCTTCGAAATGGCCGCGGGGCCGCATGGCCGCGTCCGGTGGGGCCGTAGGTGGAGCTCCCTGAGGTGCACGATCCGCGTGAGGAGTGTGCCGGGAAAGGCGCGGGCTGGAATGTTGCCGTGCCAATTGAGGCCGTAGGTGGAGTTCATTGTGGGGCACGATCGGCGTGAGGGGTCTTCCGAGATGGGCGCAGGCCTACGGCCGCGAGAGGCCTTGAGTAGTCTCTCAAGGCGCCCGCAAGCAGAAGTTCCATGAGGCTCCTAAGACAACTCAAAAGGGCTTCAAGAGAGCATGCAGAACGCCTGTGGTGGCCAAAAAGCGGTGCAGAAGGCCCCTTATGTTGCCCAACAGACTCCAGGAAGAGTCCATTAGCACGGGGAGGTGTGGCCTTGGGAACACGGATCTGGTGCATATTTCAATGTTAATCCACCCATCTCGGCAGCCATGCCTTGGCATGGCGCTTATGTGTCATGCGCGAGTTCCCCCATACCCTTGGTCCCATTACTGGCTACAGGCCAACCTGTGTGCCAGATTAGTCGAAAGGGAAGGAGAATGAAGGACCACAGGTTCGCATCGAATTATCTTCACAGTGATCTTGTGTTGTTCGCTGTTCTTAATCCCGTCCGTTGACCCTGAGGCGCGTTTGGCTGGATTTGGATATCAATCGCGTCACATCCTAGCTATTTGGGGAGGTTGCAATTCGCTGTGTGTCATTCATTCCAGAAGACCAACATCTCAGCGCGTAGTCGCCATAGGAAGGTCGCAGGCAGCATCACGGTCAACATGTGCATGTATGTTTTTGTTTGGCCATCTTGATGCTGAGACCACGTTTCCGCCCTTCCCGCCCCCAGTCGTGGAATTTGCGCGCCATCGACGAGACCACCGTCGGCGCCGACCCGCGCAAGAAAGTGCTGCCCCACGATTGCATGATCGTCGACGGGCATCGCACTGCTCAGGCGCCGTGTCCCCCGACTGGGCCTGCCCGGGGACGTGAAGGGGCGAGTGCGCAAGGGATGTGGGGCGGTCAGATGTTGGGGGCGGCGCAGACGGGCAGCACGGAGGGAAAAACCCGTGGACATTTAGGGCATTGGACGAAGTCGGTTTGGGAGTCCACATCAATGTCGGCCCTTGCCGTCATCGTACTGAATCCAGCGGTGTCGGATCTGCCCATTCGACTAGCATGGGAGCCTTAAAGAACACCCAGGGAAGGCCTACACTAGGCCTACCCCTAGGTCTACCCTAGGTCTACCCTAGGCCTACCCCTGGGGCTTACCTCTAGGCCTACCCTAGGCCTACCCTCTAGGCCCACCCTCTGCCCTCTAGGCCTACCCTCTAGGCCTACCCTCTAGGCCTACCCAGGGAAGGTCGACCCTAGGCCTACCCCTAGAGCCTACCCATAGGCCTACCCTAGGCCTACAATTAGGCCCTACCTCTAAGCTTACCCTGGGCCTACCCCCAAGCCTACATCTAGGTCTACCCTGGGATTACCCGTGGAGTTTACCCCTAGACCTACCCTAGGCCTACTCTTGGGGCCTGCACCTAGGCCTGCCCTCAGTGCCTATTCCTGGGTTTACCCTAGGCCTACCCATAGCGCCTGTCTCTCGGCCTATGTAAGGCCTCCCTCTAGGGCCTACCCCTAGGCCTACACAAGGCCTGCCCCTGGGGCGTACCTCTAAGCCTACCCCTAGGGCATAACCCCTAGGTCACCCTAGGCCTACTCTTAGGGCCTGCCCTGGGGCCTACTCCACGGTCTACCGTAGGCCGATTCCTAGGGTCTACCCCCAGGCCTACCCATAGGGCCTACTCCTAGGCCTACCTTAGGCGTCTCTCTTTGGCCAACCCAGAGATTTACTCTAGGCCTGCCCCTAGGGTCTACCCCTAGTTCTACCCCTAGGGCGTCATTCCTAGGCCTACCTTAGGTTTTTCCTAGAGCCTACCCTAGGGCCAACCCCAAGGCCTACCCCTAGGGTCTACCTCTAGGTCTACCCCCAGGGCCTACTCCCAGGGCCTACTTCTAGGCCTGCCCTTCTCCGTGCCCTAGGCCTATCTCCAAAGCCTATCCCTGGTCCTACTCCATAGAGTTTACCCTTAGTCCTACCCCAGGCCTACTCCTGGGGTTGTCCCAGGAGGAAGAGGAGGAGGAGGAGGAGGAGGAGGAGGAGGAGATGGAGGAGGAGGAGGAGGAGAAGGAGGAGGAGAAGGAGGAGGTGAAGGCGGAGGAGGAGGAGAGGGAAGAGGAGGAGGAGGATGAGGAGGAGGAGGGGGAGGAGGAGGGAAGAGGAGGAGGTGGAGGACGAGCACGAGGAGGAGGTGGAGGACCAGGGAGAGGAGGAGAAAAGAGAGGAGGAAGAGGAAGAGGAGGAGGAGGAGGAGGAGGAGGAGGCCGAGGGAGGGGGAGAACATTTACAAAAAGAAGACTTTGAAGCGAGAGAGAGAGTCGCATCACTTCACGCATCGTGCATTGTTGTCCGAGGGATGTGACAATTGCTTGGCGGAGGGACGGCGGACGTCGGCGAAAGTACAACGAGGGCGGCCCCACCAGCGCAATACTGCGGAAGCTTGAGGAAGTGAATCATTGATATCCACGAGACTTCGTCCTCTTTGCGCCCAGGAGAAGCCCCACTCGGTCGTCTTGAACGCGGCCAGGATCATTGATACCATGCTCCACTGCAGCCTTTTCGCCTCGATTCCGCTTGCGATCGCAGGCTGCCCTTGCGACCGTCTGTCCCCTCGCGCCGATCCTGGCCAGGCCAACAGAGAACGAGGAGCAGGAGGAGCCAGAGGAGGAGGAGGATGAGGATGAGGAGGAGGAGGAGGAGGAGAAGGAGGAGGAGGAGGAGAAGAAGGAGGAGGAGGAGGAGGTGAAGGAGGAGGAGGAGGAGGAGGAGGTGGAAGAGGAGGAGGAGGAGGACGACGACGACGAGGACGAGGAGGAGGCAGACGGGTGGAGGAGGTGGAGGAGGAGGCTGGGGGGGAAGCCTGAAGCGGAGCGAGGAATCGGAAACAATTCCAACACTGGTGCACAGAGTTCCTCAGGAGCAAACGGCTGCGCTGAAGAGGGCGACCGAGCAGCACCTCTGCGTGCAGTTGACGGTGTACCGGTTCGCACACTGGTCAGACTTCTTCTCCGAGTGGCAACTCTCCTGCAGCGTGTAGCAGACATAGTTGCAGAGGAGGTTGATTGGCAGTGAAATTGGAGGAGCAACGCGCCCTTGGGTTAGCAGTCGCTTTTCGCTGCCAGCTCACGGCGGGTCAGGGATTTGCTCCCTCCACTTGGTTGGCCGCAGCCTTGGCATCTTCTTCGGTAGATGTTGTGCGGCGTGGTTGGCGCGGCGGAGGCAGCAGGGGTCGGGGGTCCCAAGTTGTCGTCGCCTTCTTCGTCGTCGTCGTCGTCGCCGTCTGGTTTAGCTGGCACTCGCGCTGGCTCGGTTTGGCCGAGCGAAGAGGCAGGGGGAGAGAGGAGGAAAGGAGGGAGGAGAAGGAGGAGGAGGTAGGAGGAGGAGGAGGAGGAGGAGGAGGAGGAGGAGGGCGAAGGAACAGGACACTACGCACGCGTTGCAATTAATTTCGAGGCCACTAGGAAGGAAAAGGAGGAGGAGGAGGAGGAGGAGCAGCAGAAGACTCTGGAGGAGGGTTCGGTGGCCCTCCTGGGGTGGAGTCGTCGTTGTCGTCGTCGTCGTCGTCGTCGCCTTCTCATTCCGCCCTGCGCGCGTGCTCATACGAAATGCAGTTTAGCGTCAAGCCCGCCCGAGCCGATCCTCCAGCTCTGCGTGGTTGCGAACACGAACATGCATCATGGGTTGGTGACCCTCCCACCCGATACGACCCTCCAACGTTGCGCGCGTGCCAACACGAACGCGCATCATACTTTAGCGGCGCCGGCCGCCCGACCCCGCAACCCGCATGGAGGCCTAGCTTAGACCTACTCCAGGCCTACCCTGGGCCTACGCCTAGGACCTGCCCCCCTGCCTGCTCTAGGCGTGCTCCAAGAGCATACGTCTAGGCCTACAATAGACCTACTCATACGGCCTACCCCTAGGGCGTACCCCCAGGGCGTACCCCTTAGGCGTACCTCTAGGCCAACCCCTAGGGCCTACCCCTAGGTCTACCCCTAGGGCCTACCCCTAACGCTTCCCCAAGCCTATCATAGGCCTGTCCTGGGGCATCCCTCTAGGCCTGCCCCAGGCCTCTCCTTAGGGCATGCCCCTTAGGCCATATCTAGGCCTATCCCTTGGACCCCAGGGCAGGGCTTCCGCAGGCTCCCCTAGAAACTAGAGTAGAGCCTATTCTAGGCTACCGTATGGCCTACGTCAGGGCTTACCCAAGTTCCCTATAGTCTGGGGTAGGGCTAAAGGTGGCCCACCCCTTTCCAGGGTCTTCATCCGACGACAACGACGACGACAGCTGACGAAGACGAGGAGCGGAAGGAGGACGTCCCCAAGAGCCCTCCCCGCCCGCCGCCCAGCATGGTGCCGAACCGCCGCTCCAGAACACCCGTGGAGAGCGACGGCGACGACGACGACGACGACGACGTTGTGGCCTCGGAGGGCGGGAGGGGGGGAAGGGAGGGGGGAGGTACGCTACAACAGACGTTCCCTTCAGCTTCGCAGTATCCGCCCGAAAATCAGACGAGCGTAAACGGCAGTCACCGAGATGGTACCACGGGGTAGAAATGTGTGTGTGTGTGTGTGTGTCCACTTGTCCTCGTAGTCATCTCGGCAATTTCTTCTGCGTGTTCGATGCTCTTCAGGAAATGAAGTAGCACAGTACTATCTAGCCTCATGGTCCCTTATTGTTCTATTCGGATCGTGCCAGGCCTCGCCCTGTCAAAAGTCACAGTGTGCCAGTGTTCTCTGGCCATATACTCGTCATGTCCCTCCGATGTGCTATCGCACTCGGCGCATGACTGTCTTTCAGCATGTTGCACGACTGTTCCCCAAGCCATCCCTCATAGGCATTGCCGCTTCATTGATCAAGAAGGAAGAATTCCAGAAAACGATGGGAGCCTGTTCTTGCTACTTTAGTATTATATTTGGTCTGCATGCTCCCCCGTCCCTTCCTACTCATCCCCCGCCCGCCCCGTCTACCCCCATGTCCGCCTCTGCCTCGTCCTCCTGCAATGTCTGATCCTCCTCTTCCTCCCCTCCCTCCATGTGTTGCCTCTCCTCATTATTGTTCTGCTCCTCCTCCTCATCCTCACGTTCGTCCTTCTCCACCTCGTATTCCACTCAGGGTTGCGCTGTGATCACAGTCGTTCGCCTCCTGCCTTTGCCGCTGTGCTGCCCCCCCCCTTCCGCCCCCACGCCTCTTGGCATGCCACCAGGTCGCAGTCGCTGCAGGATGTCTTCCAGCAGCACCCGGCCATCCAGCCAGCAGGGTGGCCCGGGTTCGGAGACAAGCTACAGTCAACCCGCATAGGACGGGCAACCTTCCCAAGGGCACCCTTGCATCTTCACCTAGACGATCCATCCTTGGTCGCTTTTGCCGGCCGGGCCCCGCCCGCGAAGTGTCGACCCAAGGCCCTTGCATCGTTTTCGTGCGTTCTTATGATATGAGTCGACTGTATGGGGTCGGTTGTATTGAGCATAAGTGTTTCGGACAAGTGAGCAGTCACGGTGGGTTCACCTGTCACCAGAGGAGCGCCCAACGCAGGGACATTCGAGACACGTGAGATGTTCGGCAGGCTGTTCACGTCGTCGCCGTGCGCGGGAGCCCCGCTCTCTCAAGGTTGGTCGGGACGGCCACCGAAGACAAGACACGCGCTGGTCGCCCTAATCAGGTTTGCGCGACGAGCACAAGGAGCGGGGATTGCCTCAGGATAACAAAACCCCACCCGGGATGCGGAGGGGGGGGGGGGGGGGGGGGGCAAAATTTCGCGGGGGGGCTCTTCGGACGCTCGTGAGGCGCCCTTGGGTCGTTCTCGGTTTCTC